TGGGAAGCGGTCGGCACAAATGCAACTCTGTGTGGATGCGCTCGTGTGTGAGCGAGGGAGGTAAGCAGCACCATGGCACTTCACTTGACAAGTATACTAATTACTCCTTTTCAGTATAGGAGCTCCAGTCAGCCTTTGCCACAGTCTAATGGCCTGACCTGGGAAGCCTCTCTTCGTAGCACAGCCTCCCTAGGTCTAATATTACTACAACTGCACATGCACACACGCACACACATTGAAATGTAAAGTTTCATCTCACTGCTATCAAGCAGTATCAGGTGGAAGGAGATCAGTTCTGCCCCAGTAACCTCTTCAGGGACTGGGTTCCTCCTGCACAGGAGAATACTACCTCATATTATCATCTAACACCCACACACCACCAGTTTAAAAAAATAAAAAATAAAAAGCATGTCCCCCCCCTTCCTGTGCATCTCCGACTCTCTTCCTCCTTCCAATCTTCAGGGCTTTTTTTTTTTTTTTTCAGTGCGGGAGGATAAATTTAAAAGGAGTAAATTGGAAAATCAAATGAGGGCTTTAGGCAGCCGCAGAGATTTGCGGAGCTGTCGGCCAGCGTTGGAGAGCCTCATCCATCACGTCCCACAAGTAGTCAATTCCTCTAGTATCTGTAAATGTTTTCAGATATTAGCCAATTTATATGCTCCGAGATTCATCATGGAAAATCAGCTTCAGCGGCGCACATTATCAGAACCTGTCTCTCCCCTTGCTCCGTGAAGTTTGATGAACGAGCGCCCCTCCACAGCTCAGTGGGTTGTGCTTGGAGGGGGGAGAGCGTGGGGGGGTATATAACGAACATGGGTAGCTGCCCCCCACCCGCCCCGCCCGGTGGAAAGAAGTGGGTTTTTTAATTAATAAACAAACTTCCAGAGGAGCTCATCAGTGTCGAGGGCAATAACAACTGCCATCCGTTACTGTTTATCAGGGTCCTCCCTCAACAAATGTTGCCATTTAATGAGGTTTCCCTATGTTTTATTAATTATTTATTTTTAGATTTCCAGATAATGACTTTCTTCAGAAAAGAAGCTTGCACATAAGTAGGCAGTGGAATCCAACATCACTGTTGTGTGACTCTTACCTCGCAGTGTATGGCTTATCTTGCTTTGGAGTTGCACATGACAACAGACTTGTGATTTGTTTACACTGGTTGTTTTCTTTAGCAAATCCCAATGGAGGCGTAGCGTTTCACATCTATTATTCTCCTCTCCTCTGTTCTTTTCCTGCTCAGATGTTGACGGTGTGATACCGTGCCTTAGTAAGAATTTATACCAACATGGGACAATTACAGTAAATTTGGTGAATGTTTACAAGGTGCAAAGTTGTGCTGCAGGGCTTTGTTCTCTGTGCCTGGTGTTCCTGAGGATTATCCTTTTCTTATTTTCCAGCGCATTTTTTATGCACGTGTTTGAAAAGGAATGAGTGTGTGTACGCGCGCGTGTGTGTGTGTGTGTACAGCAGTAGAGAGGAGCTCCGGGTGTCATGGAGGTGTGCTGCTGTGCGAGGCGGGGGCGTCTTTAATAAATGTATGCTGATGTCGGAGGCTGCAACGATGCGAAGGATGCGAAGGGCCCTGTTGTTATTTACTGCTGTGTTTGTGCGCAGCAGCGAATCCCCGGCCTGCAAATGGCATTACAGCCTGTGATGAATGAGCATTAGGGTAAACTCATTTTAAAAGCATCCTGATTTATTAGCAGCCTGGCCTTCCATTTTCATCAGGTCAATGCTTGGCTGAAATTCCACAATGTCGGCGCCAAGGTCACCTATTAATGGCTATTTTTAACCCTGTCGCTCAAAAAAAATTTCAGATCACTTATTGTGGCCATCAACGAAAAATACCAAAGAGCTATAAAGACACGAGATCTGGAGGTCTAGTTGTAGGCGTTATGTGAGAGACCAAAATGTGGCGGTGGTCAACCTCCAATTATGAGTGCTGGTAAGACAAGAGCTGTAATGGCCAAGGCTTGCCTTCAGGGAGGTTTATTACACACTACTGTTTTGCAGAAGCAGCGTCAAATCTATAAAACGACCATTAGGAAGAGGGGGGAAAAAAATCAATCAAAATGCCATTAAAGTGGAATAAGTTGCCAATATTGCTGATGTGGTTGCAGGTCCTTTGATTTTCCTTCAGATTATTAGGCACAGTCGAGTAGTGACTTTGTTAAGGGAAACCAGTGTTGTTGGGGAGTAATATGTCTCCTGGCTTCATAAAGTTTGCTGCCTCATATTTCCCACTTTATTGATTATCCATTATCATTTGTCAAGAGGTGTCCTAACTCAAGGGGAAAATATAACCCTCTTCACCGCGGCCTGCACTGCACACGAGCGCGGTATGGATCTGAGTGTGAAGGTACCAATCTCTGAGAAAAATGAGCAGCGAAATAAAGCACAGCCCCTGTGCCTTGCAGCTCTTAGAGGGGAGTGTGGGGTGACGGGGTGAGTTGGTGGAGCGTCGTGGCTGGAAGAGATAGAAAACAGGTTGCAATAGGAAGAAGAAAAAGAAAAAAAAACCCGATAAAGCTTTGGCAGGAAAATGGAGAGACAAAGACGCAGATGAAACAGAAGAGAGATGTGCTAAATAGGCTTTGTTCTCATTCCTCCCTCCATACTTTTTATTTGAAGGAAGGGATCACATCTGTCTTTGTTCACTCTGTGGGGGGTGCTAACGATACACCCAGCTCACCAGTCAAAACGATGCACGGTTTTGAACTCATGAGAACAAGATGAGACTTTAGCAATAATTTGGGTAAAATTAAGAACCTACTTTTTGGGGGAGCCCAGAGCTTACAAGATCTAACAGTTTTAAGGAATATGTAATGTGTGTAGAATATTCTAGCCATGGTTATGCTCTTATATTAGAGATGGTTATCGTATTACTTATAATCGGAGTGGGAAATATATCGTAAGAACTAATCATCCTGTGTCTTTAACAACAAACTTCAATAGAATATGTTTGCAAACCCACCCAAAAACGTATGGTAAGTCTGGAATTGCTACCTTTCCTGATCAAACTGCCTTATTACTCAGATAAATGTTAAAATAAAGTATGATGGAGTATAGCTACTGTGGATTGTTTAGCAGCACAGTTACACAATTGAACATAAATGGTGTCATGAAGTAGACTTTTTGATGATTGATGAGGTTTTTATTTTGTTTTGTTTGTTTTTTTTTAAATCTAAGTAGTGATGGATTTGTTTTGCCAATAACTTGGGATTTCAAATTAGTTTTTATCATCGCTTCTGTTGTAATCACAACAAATAGCACAACATAAATAAAAAAAAAAAATCCTGATTGTGCAGCTCTACTACTGGATATTACTGGATAATGGATATTTTTTGTGTCTTATTATTGAGGTATTTGATCGATCTATGTATTCCGGACTTTAGTGTAGAGAGGACTAAAACAGCTAAATAGCCTATTAAACTGGAAACTACCAAACAGATGCCGACTGTAGCCTTGTTAGTAGGTAACAGTTGGTCAGACTTACAAACGAGTCAAAAGTGGTTGAGGCTTCTTCACTGCTGTTGTCAAATGCTCACAGCCAGCTAGCAGCAAAATCTTTAGTTGATGTTAGATCGATTTCCTGTTTTACTTCAAAGTAAGAGTCTCGAACACAGGTACAAGCTGTTGAGCTTAAAGCAATCGCCTTTATATCTGGGGATCATAATAATAGCTGAGACCGACTTAAAAAATTATAGTATGACAGCATTTGGATAGCAGTTTACAAAAAATAACTTACTATGACCCCCTGTTCATTTATCGTAAAAACTGATGGCAAAAAATGATTTGACATTGGTTAGTTATGTATAATTTTTATTTATTTTTTAGCACACTAAATAATTATATAATTTACTTCTTTTTTACCATAACATTTTAAGCGCATTCATGGTGTTTTCATTTCTCCGGTGGATCCAGAGAATCTCTACCGTATTGGTGCCTACACCATCCATGCCTGAAATGTGAATAGAAACATCCCATCACATTGTCTGCAAAGCTGCACATCTGTCAGATTCCTCCATAGATATATCACTGAAATGGCACGCCTCAGCCGTTTCGTCACACAATGATACAATCCATTTAATTCAGATCTTTTTAAGAAGTGATTTAAGGAATTTTTTAGCGTTTGCTGTAGCGCCAAGTCAATCCAGCATGTTCTCTTTTCCTGATTTATAATGTTAGTCAAGCAAGAATGGGATGAGAGATGCAGAATACTGCGCGTTCATAACAAAGATAAACTACATGAAGCGGCTGTGCTGTGGACTGAAACATTTATCTACGGAAAATCTGCATGAGCTCTCTAATAGACAAGGGGAGATATACGACACTAACTGCATACACTGTGTTCAGGCTGCTTTTGCGGTCTATATTTGCACAGTGTGATGGAATATGGACTTTTTCTTTTCTCTATTTAAAGCAACAATGAGAGTTTTTCTTTTCTTTTTTTTTGCAAGCGTATTTTGTGATGCAATAGATGAGATAAAGATGCAAAGATAATTTTTTTCTCTACTGATTCAGATTTAAAGTTTTCTAACCTGACCACCAATTTTGTCTGATTTTTTTAGGTGTATTAGATGACAGATGTCCTGTAGATCCCTTGGGTGTAGTTTGTATTCCTTGAAAATAATCACAATTTATGCTACATCAAAAAATACATCAAAGTACATTTAGTTGACGTACATGTTCGTAGACTGAAAATGGTGGTAGTTTTGAATTTTCTTAGGCACTGCTGACCTTGTTATTCATGGTGATCAGACAGGAATGTCAAAAGTTGAACCATGCACGACGAGGTCAAGAAACGGTGGCCTTTGTAAATGGGACCTCTGCACAACCGCTACGCCACACAGCCCCACTGAAGAAATCTGTTTCATTGCACTGACTAAAAAAGAAAAAATGTCGATTTCTGAGATAGGAAATTGTGAAATTTGGTGCATCTCAAATGAAGAGTTGTGTTTACTTTCTCCTAATTATCCTTCTCATCTTGATTTCAGCTTCCAAAACCGTCTTAAACAGCATGCTGAAGGAGCCGTCACTCATCCAGGACCACATTCTGGCAAATAACATCTACCAAGTAAGGCTTGTACATTTCTCCAACAAATCCTAATAGATTAGTTTAATTCATCTTAATGTAAAGAATACATATTTGTTTAGAGTACATTTATGTTTGTTGCCCCATTATTTAACTGTTTCGCTCATAAACAAAGGGGTTTTAAATGTTACTTCTGCACCTGATCAAGAAACACTTGCCATCAGTTGTTAATGTTTTCTGATGAACTCACTTGGCAGCCAGCGGTCACGTGTGCCAATCTGCCAGCATCTACTTTATTTTATTTTCCCTCTCTTCTCAGCACTGTATGGGCTTTTCCTTATACCATCACTTTTTTTTTTTTTCTGTCTTTTGGTGTGCCGTAATATTTTTCCCCTCTTTTTCAGTGCACAATAAATGACTGCTGTTATGGACCGCTGGTAGACTGCATCAAACAGTATCCTATCCCATAAAATTTTAAGCTTGAAATTGACGAGGAGCTATTGAAAGGGGATGAGATGTGTCTGGCTTCACCTGACATAAAAGTTCTGCTTCACAGAGTGAAGCGTTTCATCCTGTCTGCTATCCTACTCTCACCAATCCGAGGGCTCGAAGGCAATGGAGGGAAGACTAAGAGGAGTGGATAGGTTGATCTAAATGCATCTTCATGTGAATTCAGGAGAGGAGACCGAATATTCTCTGATGCAAAAAAAAAAAAAAAAAATGTCAGACATTCCTATGTAAAGATATAAATTCTGAATATTTTTTGCTGTCCTTGGCAACACTGTAAACACCTGTGCCAGCTAGCAGGACGCTGACTTTGCCCCTAGCGTAAGGGAGTCCAGATTTTTTTGGGGGGAACCAGCTGGGTAGCACACCAAATATTTCCTGGGGGAGGAGACTTATTTGAATGATTGTAAATGTGTATGCATGTGTTGTTGTCTCTCTCCAGGCTTTCTTGAGTGCAGTGGGGCTCGGTTGTTCTGTTCACAGCCAGTCAAGCCTGTCCCGCGCCGCCCACGTCCTCTTCCTCCCCCTCTTTTTACCATTCTGTGGTAGTCCTCTCATTGTCAGCTGAAAACCTGCTACTCTGCCACGTAGTTCATAATCAACGCCCCACAATTGTACGCATTCAAGGAACGCTAGCTATACATAAGCATGAGAGGAAGAGTTCTTTTATGCATGTGTGCATAACCTCTTTTTTGCTATTAAAGTGTAATCCTATTAGAAAATGCCTTTGTCCTTTTAAATAATAATCTATTCATATGTGGCATCAGGCTAAATGCAAGATTCTGCTCTGTGGCAGAAACCGTTGCTCATTTTAACTCAAAATGGCATTTATTTAGAAATGCATTATTTAAAGCAGGTTCTACAGAAATGTACAGAGGACATGCAGTGATCAATACACTCTGTTTTCTCAAAATAGCATTTGTTTTGTTTTGTGCATTAAAGGAAAGCACTACAGAGTTTTCTTTAGAAAACACATTTAATTCACCTGAAACCCTGCTGATGGTTTTTGTTGTCCTGGTTGGAAGTGACTTTCACTTTACATTTTTCTTACCAGCTTAATAGCTGCTAGGTGAAGACATTTTTTTTAACCTTGTCGTATTGCATTGTTTTTGTTTTTGTTTTTTTGTTTTTTTCATTATGATGGTGAAATAAATTTCTTGCAACATAACACAAAGAAATACACAAAAAGTCTAATTTGGTAAGTTTGCGTTCAGCATTTTTTGCTATTCTCTTCGGTACTAAATAGAACATGGAAACTGACTAGAGTATCTTTCTGTCTTTCTGGAAAGAACTACTCTATCAAGTAAATTTTAAAGACAACAATCATTGCAATACAACACAAACCGTAGCTGACCAATACTCTTCTTGCATTCAGATTAGCATGACCATCAGTGAGTAGAAACTCAAGTCAACAACTGGAGCTTACCCTTATAAACACGGCTTAATTTGACAAAATGCCACTGAGCTAGAAATGTGTAACTCTGTCTTAAATTGGCAAACTTATTTAGTATCAGAAAATTATAGGCTGATTTGTTTGAGGAATGAAGTTATCAGATCTAACTTCTTTCATTTATTTATTTTTTTTATATCTAAGTAAACATCAAATGCTTTTGTTGCTCTATGTTGAAATCCTTGACACTGTTCTCAGCGCTGTCGGCCAGGAGCACGAGGTGCTACTCCGTGACAAGCTGATGGAGAGAAACCTTTCTTTCCTGGGTGAGTCAGTTTTCCAACTTCTGATCACATTTTTAAGTTTAGTTTTGCAGTTTTTATCTTTGGGTGAACACTCTAATGTAGTTTATGGTATAAACTATATACAAATTTTCTTGATTTTTACACAATTGTTTGTGATGTTAGCCATTGGTTCACTACTATAGTTCAATTTCAAAACTGAAAATGATTTTGTCATCCATTTGACCGCCACTGTTTTGCCATTATTTTATGTGTAGACAAGTAAATTGCAGCTCATCGTTTTTGTTTTCTTTGACAGGTGCAGAAAGCATTTTGTTGTTGTTTTGATCCCAAATTTGCTCTTTGTATGTTGAATATTACCTGAGTCTTTCTTTAAGGAGTGCTTCGTCCAAGAATTGACATGTTTGGAAATTATTTTTAAATCTCTTTTAGCGCAAGAGGGTCAAACAACCATAAAGAAGTAATTTGTCTGCAGAGGGGTTGATGAATGTTGACACAATTGTCTTACTCTCACTGCATTTTAGAAGTAGTTAAAAAAATGCAGAGTGGAATTTTCAACTCTCCCTCCCTCCCATCACTCCAAGGTCAGATAAATGATGAAACATAAGTCATTCCCTCCGTCATTGAGACCGTATCATTTATTTGGACGTGGGAAGCTGACCTTTCTCCAGGGCAGCACAGAGGACTGTTCTGACACAGAGTTCGAGGTGCATGGGGGTGGGGGGGTCGTGAAACACCCTCACCCCCCCCATCTGATAAATGGATTGGAAATAAGCTCCCAAACAGCAGCGATGGCCCATTAATTTTAATCAAAGCTGATGTAAAAAGTTGATCACATCCACATGAGATTATCAACAGCTCAGTGTGTGTGAGTAGAGGTTTCCAATCCTTTGACACACACACGCATTTACAACTGCAGCACTGCATTCAGGGTGCCCCTCTGTACCACAGGCCTCTGGCAGCCCTTACTGACCTCTCTCGGCTATCTTCCTTCACCCTTGGCTGATGATGCTACCTCTTCGCCACCACCCTCCATCTCTCCTCAATTCCTTTCCATGCCCCATTAGTTGAGCTTGGCTGGAGACAAAGAGGCAGGCCCTTGGAACTGAATGACCTGGTCAGCCTGAGATTTAATGGAGAAATCAGGTGTTGTAGATATAATGACCAAAGCACACCAGAAGTCAAGGACAATGGCTGCGGCTTGCACAGTCAGGGGTCAAGCTTACGGAGGGTGTAATGCCAAAGTCGTCCTCCTGCAGTATATTTTCGAGAGAAAAGCCAAACTGCAACCTGACCGGAAAGGTTTGTAATTAAACGTGACATGTTTTACTGCAAACACTGCAAATATGTGACGTAACCCGATAGTTGGTTTACTGAACTTCTTGTCCTCTGCTATAGTGTTTTCCATTATTATTATTATAGGAATTTTACAAGTATATTAGTGCGAATGGTTTAGGATACTTTCATAAACATGGTTTATAGTAGAAATTAAGGTAGGATTGGTGAATATTTTGAAAATATTATGAAAATTCTTCATTTTATTTGTTGTAGATGAAAACCAGCTGAGAACTATGGGCTACGACAAAACACCGGATATCATCTTAGAGGTTCCTGTAGGTTAGTATCACAAAAACGTGTTTGCGAAATTCAGGTTTTTATTAGGTCAAAGTCATGCTTATTCAAATGAATCCCTTTTCTGTATTTACAGCAGACTGAATAGTCATCCATTGCACTCATTCATTTAGGTTTTAAATGACTAGATGAATTACTGAAATAGATTTTTCCTGCAATTGTAGCTTAAATACTCACTCCTGTTTTATTTTTTACTTTTGTATTTTTATTTTTTATTTTTATGAATCAACATTTATTTGACAATATAACTTGTTTTTATTTGGAAAGCTGTGGAAGGCCACATCATACACTGGATTGAGAGCAAAGCATCTTTCGGAGACGATCACAGCCATCGAACGTACCTCAATGAGCAGTTCTGGAGCTACTGGAACAGGTTAGCCGCCCCTTTGTTTTGTCTGAATAAAAGGGATGATTTGCTGCCATGACTTTCTCTGCTTCTTCTTTTCTATAACCACAAACCCACCACTAACTTTGCAGTGTTGTAAAAGCTGCTCATATCTCTATCCAACAACCCTCACCACTTCCTCCTTGGTATGGGCCGCTTTTACCGCAGAATTCCACATGGTTCGTCTGCGAATTGCACTGCTTCCACATCAACTCCTGTTATTAGAGCATTTTACAGCCTGAATGGTCTGCGAGTTCGATTGTTTAGCAGAATGCAGACATTGTGTTGGAAGGAAAGCTAGGAAGTGGGTGATTAATGCATTACATCTGTTGTCATGAGAACTTTTGGACAGGAACAAGCTTTTGTGGTCTGACCGTTGTAGAAACTGAGGTGAGTTTCTGAATAAATTGCCCGAATGGTTATTTAATTCCTTCTAGAAAAACTAAGACTGATGTATATTATTTTTCTCCTGTGAATACGTACTGTCTAAAACAAGTGTAGAACCCATCAAAACTTATTTATTTGGATTCTTATTACAGAGCTACAACAGCAGTATAAGTTGGTTTTGTCAGTCAGTTCCTTTTAAATGCGTTAGTGTAGAAAAGAATATTTATTTAATATTCATGTCAGCTGTGTACAGAATGTCTTCCAAACGGACATAATGAGAGACTTGTCGTAATGGCAAACAGACTCGTCGGAGTGGCGGTTCGCGTCCGTGCCTTATTTGGCTCTGGGTTCCACTTCCTCACTCAAGCGCTGATCCCAATCAGCTGTGATGGCCTTCTGACATTTAGTGACATGGTGGTGGAGTGCCAGGAGGGGCCTTTCCTCGGCGCTGTGTCCAAAAAGCGAGCAGAGACGAGGCGTCTTTGTATGTTTCTGGCTCTTGTGTAGTTCCACATTAGGATCACATTTCTGGATGGATTAAGGGGAAACAAAAAAAAAAAAAAAGTCTGCAGGAAAAAACTGTTTACGTACTTTCAAATGGGCTGAAAACTAGTGAAGTATGCGATTAAGCCGTGGGATTTAGCTAGTATGACACGTATTACTCTTTGTTGTAGAAGCGATGAAAAATATATTTTTTATTTTGTTAAAGACAACACATATGGCTCACCTGTCTGTCGTTGCCATTTTGTCCCTCCCTTCTTTCGTTTTGTTCCTGTGAAAAGAACATTTCATTCCCATATACTTGAACTATTGCAAAATAGTTTTTTTTTCTTTCTTTTGAATAATTGCGACTAACGAGATTAGTCATAAAAATATCTAAATATTGTTTTAAAAACACTTTGTTTCACCCATATTTCTGCGTCTGTTGGTTATGCCTATTGTTTTCGGTAATCCCTATGAAATATGACAGATCATAACCGCTGATGAAACCACACGGTCATATAATCCCTTTTGCTTACAGTAGACCAGGAGTAAATTATGTAAAATTACTGTTGTTGATTGTCAAAGTGGAAATGAAGCATTCCCCTGCCGCTTTGACTTCTAAGGAGTTTAAATCATGAGTATCATTCGAGTATCATGAAGCTGTTTGGATGCAGGGGACAAGCTCAAGATCCTAATTAATGATGAGTTGATTTCATTTTTTTTTGTTGTTTCGAACTAGGAGTTGCATGCAACTTGGGGTTTCAATGATTTCAGATGTAAGACTCTAGCAATTCTGTGAATTCAACTTTAAAGAAACTTCTCTTTAAATTGAAGAAACAGGCAGAAACTTTGATGGAATGGTTGTCATTCCAATCTATGTCTGTAAGTTTTAAACATTGGCCTCAATGTATTTTTAATTTATATTGACCGATATAAATGTCCATTTATAAGTCTTGTTCTGTTGTATTATGGAACAAACTAAGTAGGTCCAGTTTTGTTCCTCAGTAGTAAATTAAACATTATGGGGAGAACAAAGTAAAGTCCTGTAAATGCCCCCTTTTCCAGAAGTCTTGTAGCTTTTTAAAAATTATGCCTAATGTTTTTGTTACTGTCAGGTTTTACAATCTTTGTGTGCATGTTTACATTGCACTTTGAAAAATAAATGTGAAACAGCAATTATTTCTCAAACTGAAACACAGACAATAAGGGAGAGATTGGATTAATTCATGCTTCTAACATCACCTCTTATTTGGTTTTAGTTTCTGAGAAAGATTTTGAAGGACAGACCCGTGGTTTATTTGTCCATTCCTTCATCCTTCAAGGTCTGATTTTAGACCTTGACTCTAAACTGCTTTTCTTTGTTATTGCCCTTGGAATCGCACACCACTCCTTGTAATTACCTCATTGCTCCTGATTGACATTTCCAGTGATTTGCTTATTTTTCATGAATTCCCTCTTTGCTTTAACTGAGCTGCTTCACCCACTGCTCGTGTTAATTGTTCTTCGGTTGCCCTCAAGCAAAGTATAGTCGGGACATGTTTTTGTAGACTGGAAGGAAAAAAAAAAACACATAACTGATTTTCCCTCCAAAGCCCTCAACAACTGCATTTATCATCCAAGCAATAGTCTTGCCAACGCACTAACCCCATAATGAACCCCTCTTCAGTGGAGTGAGGGGTAATGACGCTTCACCTACAATGCTCCCAAGAAAAAAAAAAAAGAAAGAGGATGGAAAAATGGAGAGAAAAACAGCCTTGTGCAGACTCGGATGCTGCGTTCAGGCCCAGTGCCTGGATGAGATGGTGAAGCGGCAGCTATTGGTGTCTTCCAGCCATCAATCTTTAGCTGGTGGCATTCCAGAGCCGGCGAGCCCTCTGCTCTGACGGATGTTCACATAATTGAGTGATCCATCTCACCCAACTATCAGAGTTGCATAAAAATTATTCACCTGCCTGTGAATATTAAACACATAATGAGCCTCTGGTGTGTTTTAGGAGAAGTGTGTAAGGTTAAACACAGCATGTAATGAAATATGTACTCCTGTGTGGCATCACCCGATCTGTGGTGTTTTGATTATGGTGAACTTAGTTGTGGTTGGCATGGTTTGCAGCGGTTAACCCTCGGCTCTGTACCCGTCTTTGTTGTTTTGCGCACAACATTAAGAGTGCATAAATATAATTTTTCAATCCAAATTATTTGTGTGACTTTTAATGGTCAAAATATTTATTTATTTATTTTTTTTTATTTAATCATTACATATTTTTATTCAACAGATTTAAGTGATTCTTGTAAATTTTGTTGTTTGAAAGGCTAGTTTTTTGGGTTTTTTTCTGGTGCACAGTTGCAATTCTGTCTGTTGGAACAGAGGACTCTGCTGTTTCTATATTTGGTGAGAACTTAATTTCATTTCACATACAGTGCAACCTGAAGTGCACAATGCTCTACAGACTGCACTGTAATGTTGTATACACTGAGACTTGAAATTCTGTGTGCATAATTCAGTGATGACTGTGTTGCATTGTGCACAATTCAATGAGTTCATATTGCTTTCTGTGAATTGTAATATAGTTCTAAGTTGCCACATGTTTAATGCAGTGCACCCTTTTTTGTGGTCTGTGTCAATAAATATTTCTAATTATGATATGCTATATATTGGCAATAAGACGAGCCCTTACATATTCAAACTATATAAAATTGCGATTTTCATCAAAAATGCAACCAGATCAAAATGAGTTTAGGTGCCAGTCCAGACCCTCACAATACTAACCAACATAAATCAGCTATGCAATTCATGAAGTGCAAATGTGTCAGAGTTGAAAATGTTAGCTCTCATAATGGAAGCTTGAAAAGGTTAGATCTGATAAAAAGCTGTCAGCCATCCACAAAACATGATTTATAGCAAAATAATGGGTTGTATGCCTCATTTCTCTCACACATGAAATGGGGGTTAAGACTTTTCTGCTGTATATGACCACTTTGAAATTTGCTGAGCTTTGACTGCACACGGAGTTGTGATGTTTTAGTTTGGTCTTTTTGTTTGAAAGTTGCATCTTTTTAATGCATAACTTGTGTAACTGCAGCAGAAAATGTTCATGTGCATAGAGAACAAACTGATAATAATTCAGATTTCTCCTCAGGAGTTCCTTGATACACTTTTCATGTATATAATGATGGCGATCTACGATTACTGATTAAATAATGATTCTGAACCATTTTCTGATTGTTTTACAGCATCGCTAATTTGCTTCCTGCCACGCTAACTGGCACCACAGAAATTGGACATCTTATATTTATCCCTGAATTTTTTTGTGGTTACAGATCTAACGTATACTGAAGGTTTTACTTCAGTCTCAGGATGTCAGTCGATTTGAGGCACCAAATAAATTTTTACATTTAATTTTGCATGGATATGCCTATCTGGGTTTTTTTTTTTTTTGTCATTTATTATAGTGATTACTTGAAAATTGTAGACCAACCTTAAAGTATCTGATTGTGGATCAATCTTTATGACTTTTCTTCATAGTTACAGACACTGGTCACATGTGTCGTGCCTTGCATACTCTTTGAACTGTCTTAACATGTTTGCCACCAGATTAGTGGAGAGATTCTCCCAACTGAGCTGTGGATCTCCTCAGATCCTCTAGAGTTATAGGGCTCTGATAATATCGCTGGGTGACCAGGTCTTCGTAGATTAGCAATTGTCATACTTTTGTTGCTGCTATCTTTTTTATTTCCTCCCCTGACTAATTTGCAGTGTTCCGCGGTTTTTATGTTTGCTTACTAATTCTT